AAACATAAGAAGTGCTATTTAAACTTTTAAAAACAACATTATATAAACTTCAAAACAAATTTATTCGTAACTTAACTTCAAATGTAATGTCAATCATAAACATTAATATTAACCAAATAACACTATATATTAGACTAAATATTTGAGTTAATTATTTATATCATAACTAATTATTGTAGGTACTCAATAATATATTAATATGTTTTGGAAACATATTAGAAATTTAGATTGGATATGATAAATATTTTTTTGGAATTTTAAAGTTTCTGGTTCTTTCGGATATCCATTTAAGTTCGGGTTCGGTTCGGGTAATACCCATAACCCAAAATACCGTAAAACAAGATCCATTCGGTACTTATGTCGGGTTCGGAACGGTTCGGGTTCATTTTTATCGGGTCGGATTCAGTTCAGATTTTCAGGTTCGGTTTTTTTTCCCAGCCCTAGCTTATACAAGCTTTAAGGTCATTAATCGATTACATTATTACCAAGTCAAAACCAATAGTTAAAAGTAATTTTCCAGACATTATTTGTGAAATGATTTTCAAAATTTACTTACATGTCTTCATTACATTTATTTTTACAAAGCAAAAATATGACATGGCATAAAAATAATTATGACATAAAAAATTCATTTATATAAATTGATATTTTTGGTAAATATTATAAAATATGATAATAACTCATATATCAACTTTAACATTAATAAAATTAAATTAAAAATATATTTACAATATTGTCTTTAATTAAATTTAACTAAATAAACTTTGATTATGAGTATATAACTATTTATTTTTCAATGATCTATAGAAGATAAAAACCTCTATAATTTACCTAAAATGAATCTAAAATTTATCATGATAAATGATGTTTATTAAATAAAATAGAAACATTGCTTGGCATAATAACAGATCTATAGGCGATACAATTAGTTTGAAGATTTTAAACAATTAACTTTAATATTTTTAATTTATTTTTAATTTTATGAATATTTTAGAAGCTTCGCAGTTTATATATAGATATATAATTTTGAAATTTCAATATTGTTTCCATTTTAATATATAATATTTTAAATTATTTTAAAAATAATTTTGATAAGAATAAGCTGATTTTATATTTTTGTCTAATGGTTTAAAGCTGATTACTCGGTTACATTCAGGGATGCTAAACATGAGAAAAGAACTGAAGAAGCATGCAACAAATCAGAAAAAAAACTGCAACAAAATTTAAGATATCACTTCGATTAGAGAAAACACACTCAACATGGTGAAAATGAACAAACACAAACATTAAACTTAACAGGAGCACGCAACAAATAAGAGAAAACTGAAGCAAACATGTTGCTGTGTCTTCACGTTGAAACGGCATCATCATTATAACCAACTTGGAGATTTCTGTATCTGTAAAACCAAGAGCAGACAATAAAATAACCGAAATTCAAGACTCCTACAATGACTAAAACCCAGTAAACATTGTCAACTCTTCCATGGTTAATGTCATCTGGTAACCACTTGGTGGTCCTCTGAATAAGATCGATCAGAGCTGTGCTCAGATAAAAAGAGATTCCAATCACAAGTGACGTCAATGAAGTAGCAGTGTTCCTCAGAGACTCTGGGAACTCTCCATAGAATAATTCAATATTCCCCGGAAATTGGAAGGCCTCTCCTATTCCCATTATAACGAGAGGAGGAAACAGCCATAGGACTGACATGGGATGATCATTTTCAATTCTTCTAAGCCTTTTTGTTTCCACAACTGCTGATACTGCCATGCTTATGATGGTGAGAATCTGGCCTACACCAACTTTTTTAAGTGGTGTCAGCTGCTTATGGGCTAGCTTCTGGTACATGGGATAGACAATCCATTTGTTAATGATGATAAAAGTTGATGCAGTGATGAGTATTATGACTTGGAGGGACCCGGCCGGAACTTTGAAATGTGGGCCGAGCCCACGGTCCATAACCAGAGCTTGGAGTACCATCAAACTTGTTTGCATCACCATGGGAGTACTAACAAAGATTATGGCTAACCACAGAGGAAGAAGCCGGAGAATGGATTTAAAATCTTCTACCTCCTGAACAGTGCATAGTCTCCACATGTTGTCGTCTTCTGTCTTCAACGCTGCACGGTTCAAGAACCTGAAGCTCTTAGAGGGTATTTCAGCACAAGTATTTGTCTCTTTTTCAGATCCATGGTGATAGTCTTCTTCTTTTGAAGAAATCAAGGCTTTTCTTTTCACTGTAGCAGCGACTACAACACGGATTAGGGATTTGAAAGGACTTCCCATTGGTTTGTCATGCTTGTAAAGTCTCTTCCCGCATACGAAGACTATGAAACTGACCAAATTAGCAGCAGCACAGAGGCCGAAGCCAAGTTTCCAGCTAGCATTATCCTGTGTGTAGACAATTGCTGTTGCACCGGTGATAGCTCCAGCGTATAAGGTGAGGAAGTACCAGTTGAAGAAGCTTCCTTGATCTTTAGCTTTCTCGTATTGGTTTGCACCCGCGGATGCTAAGGTGAACCGTGTCCCACCTGCTCCAGTTGTTACTAGAGCTAAGGCTGCAAACAAGACCCCGAGCTGGAGTTTTGATGGGGGTTGGCATAGGCTTGACCCTGTTTCACACGGTGTAGGTCTCAGGTAGTCCAAAGATGCGATCAGAGTCAAGAGAAGGATGCCCTGAAAACGTTTTAAAAACTGTTGGGGTTTGTGGATTGGAACATAAAAGATACTTCATCCGTTTTAATTTCTTTGTCATTGTAGCAGAAAATTTTTGTTTAAAAATAAGTGCTGTTTTTATGATTTCAAAACAAATTTTGTTAACTTTATATGTCATTATATTTTTATTTTGGTTGAAATGCAATTAGATTTATTGGTAATTGTGTTTTTATATAACAAATATGTAAAATTAAATATTTTTTAATCTATTTGTATAAAACTAAAATAACAAGTAAAATGAAACGGAGGGAAAAATAAATTATGAATCTTAGACGTACAGTCAGAGATATGAAAGCAGAGGCGGATATGATGGAAATGTTTCCGAAGAAAGAATCAGCTAAAATGGCTGCAACAACAGGAAACATGCTGAGGCATCCATTGACAACGTTTGCAATCTGAGCAGCAGCGATGTTCTTGATGTTGAATTCCTCGATCAAGAAGACGATCAAGTTCATTACCCACCCAAAAGAAGTTATGGACAGACCTAACAATGTAGCTGCACCACACAAACATCAAACATTTGTTATGTCTTGGCTTTAAAGAAACAAAGACGACATACAACAAAAACAAAACTACAAACCAATCATGTACGGAAAAGTTGTCCAGCCACCGCGTTTGCTGCTGGGATCTCCAGTGTGCTGCGCTTCTGTATCGCCCGAGACTAGACGAGCCATATAAGAGAACAAGAGGCAGAAGTAATTTGACTTATGTTTGTGTGTAATGATGCAGATTAAAAGCCTTAAAGAGTGTGTATATATAAGCAAATGCAGAACAATCACGTTGGTGCAACGATTTGGTAATTATCTTCTTTGGTCCGAAACCTACCTAATCATTTTTTGACATTCCCTCTTCCACTTTCTTTTTTCGAAATAAAATTAGCGAGTGGAATAACCAACTAGAAAAGGATGTTGCCAGATTGGGAAAATAGTACTATCCACTAATCATGATAAGCCACTTCAAATAATCTTTATATAGATTAATCAGTATACACAAAGTCACGAGACTCATGTGTACACAAAATGTTCTCAAAATCCTGTTCCAAAAAAGACTGAACCAGCCCTTATAGAGCAGTGCGGAACAGTGGTAGACCCACGGCTTAGTAAGGTGTGGCATGTGCCATAGGCTACATACTATAAAGTTCTTGTGCACAGACCACAGTGCACATGCATTTGCAAATGTAGTTGTTACCTCTTTTGGCTAAAAAGGCCGCATTGTGTTGTGCCCCACTTAACCCAAGATCGAGTCTTCAAATGTTTTTTTTTTCTGTTCTTTCAAATTTTTCTTTTTTTTTTGTCAACACTCTTTCAATTTTTTCTTAACACTCTTTTATACTGTACTTATACCTCTTCATAAATTACCTTTTCCTTTTTTTCTCTTTTTTTTGCTACCTAAAATTTATTTTCTATAATTGATTTTCTTTTCCTAGTTTATTAAAGAAAATAAAACTATAATTTATTTGAACTTTAACTCCAACAATTAGTTTTATGCAATCTGTGAGAATTAAATCCCACAATTGGAATTTTCATATAATATAATAAAATTTAGGAAAACTGTGGAAAATATGTCAATAAGTGAAATTTTAATATAGTTGATCCAAACTTTTGAAAATTGCTTCTCTTTAAGGTGACCCAAACTCTGCTTTTTTCAAGTAAGATTTAGAATTTTTAATAACTAGTGTAATTTACAAAGTAAAATATAATTTTCTAAATTATATTTAGGGAACATATGTAATGTGTCCCATGTTAATTAGGTTTTTAGATATGTCCCTGGTGCAGAAGCAGGATTTACTTCCACATGTTTAGGCCTAGCAAAAAATCTGAAATCAGAGATCCAAACCTAACTTACGTCTGTTATCGATTCTAGATGTTACACTATTCGAATTGATCATAAACAATTATATAAATTCTATTAAAAACTTAAAGTGTTATTAACTGAGCCAAAAAAAAAACACACCAAAAATCTGTAAAATCTTAAACAAATATTCAAATTAGTATCCAAAATGAGTATTTAAAACATAATCAACTAGCTCAGATGTTCAATTTCTTGTTATTTTTGAAAGAATATCTGAAATAAATATTTAAAATTAAATTAAAACATATCAGACTAGGCCTATCTCAGATAATTGTTTAAATTTTTAAATAATTATACTTACAAAATATATATTTAGGTATATGTTATAAATTATATTTAAATTCAAATTGTTATTAACCGAATTTGATTTAAACTAAAATAATAACTGAATGGCTTTAGGAGACTCTATGGTACCCAATGATACCCAAAAATCCGAATATTTATCTACCATGTCTATGATAAATAGAAATTTCTTGTGAACAAGTATATATAATGAAATAAAAATAATATTTTGCAATAAAAATGATTCTTAGCTGTCCACATGATACCTAACCCACTTTTGACATTCATCCTTGTGATATACAATTCATGTATTGAAAGCAATATAGAAATTTTAGTTACTCTTTTAATTTTTAATTTTTTTTATAAATCCACTCTTTTAGTATTACCCACACAATGTTTGGAAATTTTACGTTTGATACAATAAAGTTGTAAAGGTTTAGCAAAAACTAAAATTGCATTACATAATGAAATCTGTATATCAATAAGAACATCACATTTCATACAAGTCTCAAATTTTTACAATTCAAACAGTTATAATTAGATGAAAAGGCAAAAACTGAAAATGAAAAAATATACAAAATCACTTACCGATACTCATTGTGGAGGAGTTTTTAAAACAAAAGATGAAGCAAAGACTACTACTAGACCATACTGGAAGTGTTTTAACCAATTATATCTACAATTTATCTTCATTGTTGTAATCATCTTTTATATATATATGACATATATGTTAAACTTTCCATTGCATAAATGAAAAGTAGATTATGAATTGAAACTTACAATTTTTTACTAATTTATAGTTGTTAAATTTTCTTTTACATGCACCTTTCTTTATGTCCATAAAAATTCTAAAATTCTTGTTAGGGAATAGAAAAATATATCTAATTAAAATATTAACAATGATCTGTAGAAGATAAAATGTTCCCAAACCTAAAATGACTCTAAAATTGAATCATGATAAACGATGTTTATTAAATAATAATAATGTTCTTGGCATAATAATAGATTTATGGCATGATACAATTAGTTTGAATATTTTTATCTATCAACTCTAAGATTTTTAATTTATTTTAATTTTTATTGATTTTCTATTATTTTAATATAATTTATAAGATTTTACTATATATATTCAATAAAAATATTCTTGGCATAATAATAATGTTCTTGGCATAATAATAGATTTATGGCATGATACAATTAGTTTGAATATTTTTATCTATCAACTCTAAGATTTTTAATTTATTTTAATTTTTTTTGATTTTCTATTATTTTAATATAATTTATAAGATTTTACTATATATATTCAATAAAAATATTCTTGGCATAATAATAATGTTCTTGGCATAATAATATATTTATGGCATGATACAATTAGTTTGAATATTTTTATCTATCAACTCTAAGATTTTTAATTTATTTTAATTTTTATTGATTTTCTATTATTTTAATATAATTTATAAGATTTTACTATATATATTCAATAAAAATATTCAAAGAAGGTGTTAAAAATAAAACAAAAGTTTGTGTATTGGATAATCTTGTCTGTGGGCTTTTTTTCTGAGCTCATTAGGAGTTTTTGGGTCTGAGTTCCTTTGTTTTTATTTTCCTTTTCTGTATCTTATGATGTATCACAAAATCCGAAAATAATAATATGAAAACCTTTTAAAAACAAAAAAAAAAGTATAAGGAGGTAACTAAATACAGTTGGCATCTTTTATTAAAGAAAATTTCCCGTTCTCTACCATTTCAGTCGCTTTGCTTCAGCTATGGCAGTCCGGGCGATGCTTATTATGTTGGATTAAAATTTTAATAAATTTTCTATTTGGTTTATATGAGTGAAATTAGATAAACAGTTGTAAAGAAGAACATTCTAACGCTTATGAACGGTGAGTTGGCATGACATCTTTATGCCAACAGTTGGCATAATATCTAGAACTATATTGGATGTCTAGGTTAATTTTTTTTTTTGGGCTTTACTCTGTAGAGGAGAGTTAATAACTTAACTAGTATTGATCCCGTTCTAAGCACGGATGTACTTTTGTTTGCAAATAAAATCAAATTTCAGGTATATATAAAACTAAAATAACATGAATAAAATAACTCTAATATATCATAAGGAAATGAGTATACATAAACAATCCCTTGTTACAGATTAACTGTGACATAGAAAATTAAGTTAGATTAGTTTTAAAAAGTCATGCTGATCTTAATAAGCTCATTTAGATACATATATTAGTTTGAAGCTTTTACGTTTTACATCTTTTGTCTTGTTTTTTTTTTTTTGGTCAAAATCTTTTGTCTTGTTTATCCTGTGTTTTTTCCTAAATATTAACCTGCAGTCTATGGCTTTTTGTCTTATTACATGCAATATTAATATATTCAACGTGTTATTTCAAAAGTGTTAAGTTTACTGTAAAAGTTTTTGTACAATAAGAAAACAATTAAACAATCTATCCCTTCGATGGTGATTTATTAGAAGCCTCTTTTACCTTTCATCACAAGTTGTTCCTCCTCTGAAGCCTCCTCTCAAAACACAACAAATGCTTCTTTTATTTATAAATCAAACAACAAAACAAAAAAAATCTGCTGTCGAAGGAAGGACTGAAGAAATTACATAGAAAATGTTGGTGAAGAAAGGAATTACTTACTGATAAGACCAGTTAATGAAGCGTTTACACTCGTGCACCTCTGACCTGAGTAGATACTCATCCTAAAACTGAGAGTTTCACTGCAACTGTCTTTCAAAATTTATATATACAGTGTGTACGAATAAAGAAAATAAAAATTTGTAAAGAAAGGAGGGAATCGTGGGCTAATGAAATGATTGTTACAATTTTTTTCTAACCATTATTTTGTTTTAATTGATTTTTTTTTTTGTAAATACAAATGACTTGACAAAATTTGATTGGTAAAATAACTTGTGATTTAGTATATAAAAGATATCATCATGATTCATCATATGGCCTTAGAGATGTACGTGTATAAAACAAAATAGGCAAACAATTTTAAATAATAACGTTCTACCGTTAATCAACAAAATAAAACTTCCAGATTATTTGAAATTCGGGAATTATCTCAAATAACATTTATATGCTGAAAATTTTATAATAATAATTCATTTATCCATTTTTTGAAACTTTGCATACAAATAAAATATCTATACTTTTAGTAGATCATTAAAACAGATAACAAATATTATTGAAGAATTTTATATTTTTTTCTTTTTTTGAAAAGGGGCTAATTTCAGAAATCTTTACTACTTTTTTTTTTATCAAAAAATCTTGAGACTTTCTTAATATGGCACACCAACAAAATCGTTGCATATTCATTTATATATTCATTTTTTAAATGTGTGTTCCAATCAAATCAATCATATCTTAAACAATTACTTATTTTCCAGTATTAACATCTTCATAAATCTTCCAAAAAAACAAATAAATTGGAATGAACTTGTGTTCTAAAACGCATGCGAATTGCTGAGAATGCATACACCGGAGGCATACCGTCACTGATCGGAAGCATAAGAAAGGGAGTTATGTCCGAGTTGACAGTGTTATCGCAAAACTCGGCGCGTTATAAAAGACAACGCGTTGAATTAGTTGCAGAGAAACACAGTTCTCTATGTAATTTGGAGAAAGTGACATGTTTTTTTAGTAGTTTCTTTGAGAACCTTAACACTAAAGAAAAAGAAGAGTATAGATTAATACCCGAGTTAAGCGGACATTTTTACATTATTCTACCCACGAGCCCACGGAAATGCATTCATATTTGTGGTCAGAACTTTATATAATAGTAAAATCTCTTTAAACTATTCCCTATTTATTTCGTTTATTCCGAGTATTTCATAAACGCTAGGCTTGAACACACACTTATGCCTAACGTATTCCGGAATAGGGGAATTAACACAAAGAACATAGTCTTTTTCTTTTTTTGATCAAACACAAAGAACATAGTTTACAATTCATAATAAGTCAGTGTGAATATTTTACAAATCCTAAATTGATGTTCCATACGTATGCATTAATTAAATATTCAACTTGATGGATTAATTTACAGGTTATTTAAATTGATAATACTGCATCATTATATTTTTACCTTATAAAATATAAAATACTAAACCAAATGGTGGAATAGTTGTGAGTGATGTTTTTACTATTTTTATTTTTCGGTTATTACATTAAACTTGAAAAGTATTTGTCAAATATGAGATAAATTGAACAAATAAATTAGCCAATTTTTATTATAAAACATTAAAACCATTTTAACTGACTCAAGACAGATTAAAGACATGTTAACTTATTTTAAACATTAAAATTGTAAACAAGGTGATACACAATAGATTTATAAGGATTATTTTATTAAGTATTGTAGTTTCTTTTAAAATTATTACCACACTTTAAAGCATGGACTAAAATCTAACAAAACATAAATAGATATTTACATTGATTATCTTCACAAACATAATTATAAGTATATCATACATAAAAAATAAAGTTCTAGTTTTTGTTTGTAAGTTTAAAATCAAACAGGTAATATTATATTTTCAATAGAATATATATTTGTTATCTGATGTTTACAATGTTTTAGTTAAAAATGTTTTGTATGGGATAGGTCATAATTCTTAACGAAGCCATAAATTTATCCAATCCAAAAAAAAAATTAAAATCATAATGTACACATGGTTATACACATGGTTATACACATGGTTGCAATATCTATTAATATAAATATTTTCAAACGAAACTAATCCATTATTTAAAAGGATTTTTAACATAAAAACTCCCTCAACTAAGTTTGCTTTGGATAAAAACCCCTAAACTAAGTATTTAATGAAAAAAGCTAAACTAACTTTATTTAGTGAATTAAACTTTCGTTGTTCATAATTACCAGTACTACCGGTAAATTTTTAGTTTAGGAGTTTTATCATTAAACATAAAAATTCAAAAAAAAAAAAAAAAATCAAAATATAATAACATTATCTAAAAATTCGTAATTTTAATTTTTAAAACTAGCATTTTAAAAATTTCAGTAAATATATGAATGATTTTTTATCCTTGTAAAATGGATTTTTAACTCTAAAATACCTTAACTAAGTTTGTTTTGGGTAAAAACCCCCAAACTAACAAGTAAACCCTCATATTAAACATAGTTGAAGGGTTTTTATCATTAAAAGTCTAAAAAAAAAATTATAACATTATCTAAAAATTAGTAACTTAAATTTTTAAAATTAGCATTTTGCAAACTTTCTGTAAATATATGAGTTTGATTTGTTTTAACATCAATATTATTTATATATAGATTGAAATTTTAAAACACCAAAATATAATAAAAAGCATCTAAAGATTTATCATTACATTTTTGTTAAATAAGATATAATTTTTATTCTGTTTTCTTGTTTTTATAGTTATAAATTTTGATAATTTTTATTACAGGTAAATCGTTAGATAATTTTTCTTATATTTTCTTTGTTTATACATTTTAAATTTATACATATATAATTTTGATTTTAAAAGGATAACAAATCAGACTCATATAGTTACAATTTTTTTTTTAGATGCTAGTTTTTAAAATTAAAATTACAAATTTTTAGATAATGTTATTATATTTTGAATTTTATTGATTTTTATGTTTAATGATAAAATCCCTAAACTGAAGATTTACCGGTAATATTGATAATTATGACCGGCGAATGTTTAATTCACTAAATAAAGTTATTTTGGGGGTTTTTCATTAATTACTTAGTTTGGGGTTTTTACTCAAAACAAACTTAGTTGAGGGTTTTTATGTTAAAAATCCTATTTAAAAACACTGATCAAAATCTATTGTAAAAAATTAAAACAAGTTATCCCTAATTTTATTTTGATTATCTTACATTCATACCCCAAAATTTTTTTCTTCTGACCAAAAAACTCTCATATCCAAAAACAAATTTCATTTGATTATTTAATATTTTAATTTATAATAAATTTGATGACTCAACACCAGATTAAGAGTTTATGACTAGAATAGAACCTGACCAATCTCAGCTTACTTAAGCAGTTTGAACTTTGACTAATCTAAATAATGGAAAGACTGTGTTACAAAAAAAAAAAAAAATAATGGAAAGACTCATCGTATTTTTTTAGCTAACCCTCTTCCCAATCAAAAATTGGATTTATTTTCATAACGATTGAATGCATCACATTATAGGGCTGGACAAACCAAAGATTTGAGCTGAGTCAGGTTTAAAAAGTTATACTGCAACAAAATCAAAACTGGTAAGCATCCAAACGAATTTAAAATTTAGTATTTGAAAAATCAGAATGAACCTAATTTAAACCAAAATATTTTTTGTATACGAAGATACTTAAATCACAAAATATTTAAATATATTAATTATTATATATTTAATATCTAAAATATTCATAATATTTAAATTATCTAAAACACTTGAAATATCGAAAATGGTCTAAAATAACTAAAATTAAATATTCAAAAACCAAAAATACATGGAATACATATGGAATTTTCATCCAAATATTTAAACCGAACCAACTTTGATGTCCAGATTTAGATATTTATTCATCTATCATTCAAAATTTATATGTTGTATATTATTTTTTCTTTTTTTTTTTTTAGAATTCTGAAATATGTTTGGATTTTTGAAAATTCTACATATTCTAAACGGATATTCGAAATGAAGACGAAACAAATTATAATACTAAATGGGTTTTAAGTTTCTAACCCCAAAATCTTGAAACTCAAGTAGACCCTAACCTATCCAAACGTCCGTATGTGCATATGACTACCAAAACGTACTATATCTAAGTTTATTTCAAGAAGAGATCAAACTCAAACTGAAATATCAAATTCAAGATTGATTATTTGTTCTGAAATCAAATTCAAGTAAACAAGTATTTTAACTTCAATTACATTATTATGGCCGTTTATTTTTGTCATGATGACGTTAACAATGATCAAATATTAAAGAAATGAAAAACATAGTGCAAAATTACAGACTTAAATATCTGTCTCACCTCACGACAAAAAACTAAATAAATTTTCTTATTGTTTCTCTTGTCACTAATCAAATTATAAAAAGTTGAATATCTCTCTCTCACCTCACGACGAAAAACAAACAGCTTTTCTTATATTTTCTCTTGTCACTAACTAATCAGATTGACAATAACACACCACCCAAATCCAAACTAGTCTGTACTGATAAAGCGTAAACTACGAAGCAGGAGAATATAACCGTCAATTAAAGCAAGTAACGACACGTGTCACAGCATGTGCACTTATGTAATAACCCCAACATCTTTAACTTCGCCTCTTCTTTAGCGCTCTTCATTTTAAAGTCACTGCACAAGAACCATAGCAAAGCTTACAATAAACAAAAGAAAAAAACTCAAAACACTAAAGAAGAGAAAAAAAAAACCTGAGAGGGAGCTATGAGATCGAGCAACCATCTAATAGGTATGGTGAACTTCCTCACCTTCCTCCTCTCGATCCCAATCCTCGGAGGAGGGATATGGCTAAGCAGCAGAGCTAACTCAACCGACTGTTTACGTTTCCTCCAGTGGCCACTCATCGTCATAGGAATCTCAATCATGGTCGTATCACTAGCCGGTTTCGCTGGAGCTTGTTACCGTAACAAGTTCCTGATGTGGCTATACCTAGTCGCCATGCTTCTCATCATCGCTGCCTTGATAGGTTTCATCATCTTTGCTTACGCGGTTACTGATAAAGGATCCGGTCGAACCGTGCTTAACCGGGGTTATCTTGACTATTATCTTCAAGATTATTCCGGTTGGTTGAAGGACCGGGTCTCTGATGATGGATACTGGGGGAAGATCAGCTCTTGTATTCGAGACTCTGGTGCGTGTAGGAAGATTGGGAGGAACTTTAATGGTGTCCCTGAAAGTGCTGATATGTTCTTCCAGAGAAGTCTTAGCCCTGTTGAGGTAACTTTCTTGAAACAATAGAAAAAATCTCTTTTTTCTTGTCATGTTGAAATAAAATTATAATGGATCTTGATGGTTAGTCTTGGATTCTGGGATATTCAGATTCAAATTTTTGAAAAATTTCTTAGTGTTGGAAAAAAAATTTGATACTATAGTATTTTCTTTTGTATTTTGGGGACAGAAGCTTAAAATTATTTTCTTGAAATAATAATTATGGTCCTCCATGTCTTCATGACCCATATGACGAGAGAGACAATTATTGAAAGATAATAATTATTTTTTTCAAACTGGATATTTTGGGTTTACTGTTTTTATTATTAACTTTGTTGACTATTTTAGTTGAGTATAGATCTGATTCAGCTTTGCCTCTAATATACTCAAGCAAACATAAAATAATAGACCGGAGAACTGATTTTAAAAATATGTAATTTATTCGCCTTATTAATTGCTGTATGGAAGCCATAAATGATACAGAATTTGACCATGCAAAAGTGATTGTCTAAGCTTGAAGCTTCCATTCTTATTGGGTCAGAGATCCTCTGCAATTTTGCTGGCTTTTGTAGTTTTGTTTCATATACGTAGGATCTATTATTAGCTTTTAAAGCGACCCCAAAAAGTATAAAACTTTATGAAAAGAAAAAAATATTGCTTTGCTGTTTTTAGAATTTTAATTAAATTCCAACGTCATGAGTAACCAAAAACAATTACAAAATTGCATGGAAGCTGGAAAGGGTAGTTGTTCAAGTCCTTGTTTTAGTCTTTGCTGTTTTATTTGTTTTCATCATGAAATAATCTTTTGCTATGTGTACTATACACGATATATATGGATCTTTTACTTTTTGGTGGAAACTATCAAACTTATTTTCTGCCTACCATCGTAAAGCATTACTATTACGTATCATGATGTGTATACTTAAAGTTGTCTCAATGGTGCTATTAAAGCAGAGTATCTAGTGTCTCTGCTACAGTTTCTTAATATGAATGATAAAAAAATTTGGGAGTACTATTATTAACCGTATCATGATCTGTATTTTTTGTTACTCTGTAGTCCGGTTGCTGCAAGCCGCCATCAGATTGCGGGTTTTCGTATGGTAACGAGACGTTTTGGATGCAAGGAGGAGGGATGGTGGGAGCAAACCCGGACTGTATGTTGTGGAATAACGAGCAGAGCATGCTGTGTTACCAGTGCAGCTCTTGTAAAGCAGGTGTTCTTGGGAGCTTAAAGAAGAGCTGGAGAAAAGTGTCAGTGATCAACATCGTGGTGCTTATTATTCTCGTTATCTTCTACGTGATCGCTTATGCGGCTTACAGGAATGTCAAGAGGATTGATAACGATGAGCCGGCCGGTGAAGCTAGGATGACAAAATCACACCCTAGTCATTTCCACCTTTGATCAAAAGTGTATGGTAATGAAAATCTGATGAGAAACAATGAAACAAAACATGGGTGCTTTGGATTTTATGGTTTCACTTGCGTATGATTTAGTAGTATTTTTCTGTTTGTTTTTGATATGTAACACATTTGTTTCTGTGTGTATATTATTTATGTTGGAGCTACATTTTATTGTTTCTTTTAATAAGCATTATTATACCACATCCTTTAATCGAAGAGATTTGTTGAAATGGACTGAGCGTAGTTCTTGTAATGTCTGCTCAATGTTCCATTTTCAACAAAGTTTATTAAGCTGTAGCGAGAAAACAGACACAAGATGAAGTAAGTGTTTAATGGAGACGACAAAGAATGGGTCAAGCGAGAGCAACAAATAACTTGTGACTGAACGTTATGGACTCATTGTTCATTTCTCTCTATATTTCCATACTCATGAAATAATCATCATTTTCTATATAATTATTCCAGTTATTATGGTTTAGGAGGAATCAGGACTTGTGGTGTTATTTGTCAAATGGTGTTCTTTAGTGTGATTGTGCTTGTTGTGTGTACTAATTATACCGAATCTTAGTTCCAGATGGTGTTCAAATAGTGTTCACATGCCAATTTAACATTCAAATTGAAATGGTGTGGGAGATTTATATCACTGGCCGAATTGGTCTAGCAAATATTCAAATACTAATATTTATTAGAATATCAACTTAAGTGAAACCACAGCCTCACACACATATGCATACCACTTGCACTCACTAGTTAATTAGTAATATTACACAATCTCTAATAAAACTTCTTCTAGCTAAAGTTTAATTCTTTTCACTACCAACAACCTCTTCTTCTCCTTCAATCCTATCACCTTTCAGTTTCATTTGTCTTGGTATCTCTTGTAATATAGGTGGTTGTCTACCCGAAAATCTGAAATCGTAAACAACTTCTGGCTGATTCTGATTCTCGGGGGAATCGATATCAACGACATTCTTGTCACCATTGTTTCCGGTTACTGACATTTGGTTTCCTTTCCTCTCGTTTCTTACCCTACCATGCCATCGCCTTAACACATTTGCTGTATCTTCTTCTAAGATTGCTCTCTTGTAGCTTGATCCCATCTATGCACACGTATTATATGCATCCAAATCAAACTCAGATCACTAGGTTACATTACCAATTATAATTTTATTTTATTTGCATTTATTTGTAGTAAGACTTACTTGAGTTACAATGGCGTAAAGAGGTAGTGTAATGTAGCTGCTCAAGACTTGGACTGTCACCCTATATATTTTTATATATACTTTTTAACTAGATAATCTAGTATACAAAGACATAAACTGGAAGAAACTAAAATAACTTTGTGGAAAATGCGTATATGATAGAAAATAGGGCTTACGCTAATACAAGTCGTGTGACGACGACCACTCTTTGTTCATGGTAGCAAGAGTTTATCCCAAATTTCCACTGATAAATTTTATAATTAAGAAGTTGGAACATACATTATATATATTTCAGTTTACTTTATTATTTTCTTCTTTTGCTATATTAAAATATTAAATCCAAAAGAAGCTAAAGAATAAACTTACGGTAATCCACACAAAAAATGCTATCTCGAAGGTGTTCTGTATCAATGTCACACAAACAAATTCATTTTTTTCACTATTAGTGTATTAGAAAATTGCATTCAGATCCGATGAAACATTAGAGAGAGGACATGTAGAAATGTAGAACTGATTACCAGGAACAACGTGTAGTGTAAAACGGTTAAGAGGAAACGAGGAGTGCAAAACCAGAAATGCTTGTCGTTTGGCTCAACGAGAGGGCTTCCTCGGATCACACTGTTACTATCCTTTATATTGACCGCCATATTCGCCACTATCACTTCTAGTTTCGTCCCGATCACTAGAACCATCTATACGTCACAACTAGTTCTTCAATTTATTTGACTTACACATACTTTACTATTAAGCATATATTATAATTGCAGCTCTTACAATAAGTGGCAGAAATGACATCCAAAAATATACTCTCCAACCTGATAGTAAAGTGTAAATAAAAGAAAGCTATGTGAAAATTAAATATTAGTACTAATATCTACACAATAATATTGAAGCTGAACGTTAACATAAATCTAATAAATCTATGTTACCATGAACATCGAGGAGCATAAAGATGACCACAATTAGCCACATTAAAGGACTGTAATCAATTATAAGAAAGATCAATTTACTAGCTGCTTCGGAAGATGATACTGTTGTCATTCAAATGAAAACATAATTAGGTACAAAACTGTTATACATACCTGATACCAACCACAGTCTTAAAATCTTCATGTAAAGATCTTTGTATATACTTTTGGAAGTTGAAAGAATTATTGGCCGATAAATGAGTCTGCGTTATATTGAAAGAGCAATATAAAAAATGTAAGTATTGTTCACAGAATATTAATTATTCATTGACAAAAATGAAATACTAACATGTATAAATCCATGACGGAGCGTGAGGTAGTCGACTTTCGCCACCGAGTTATAGAATTGTCTGAAGAAACATTTCTTGAAAGAAAAACAAAAAACTTCGTTAGTCTATATATAGTTTTTTTTTTTGCAAGCTTACACTCTATAATAGTTTGAGATACATGTCAAGAAAATAATCAGACTTAAAGGTAAAGAGCATGTACACGAACTTACAATCCAAAGTTGAATCGATGTTTCACTCCAAGAACTCAGGTGACGTCGAGCAAATGTGGTTTCTCTTGTGATTCTAAATCTATTTGGATCTTTAAATTACATAAATTATTAACAACTTTAACATCAACTTTATAGATGAAATGATCATTTCACTATATAACAATTTATATTCGAACGTCTATAAATAACTACAATAAAAAATTATAGATTAACAATATTTAAATAATAATAATTATTAATATACATGATAAATATTATTAAATAGTAATAATTAAAAAACTTTAGAAACTTTCTTAATACAGTACAATTTAACAAATAAATAAGCAATCTACAGAATACAAAAATCTGAATGATATGAATTAATATAATTTTCACTCAAAGTTAAAACATATAGTCTAGCTTCAAAAACATCATAAAATGATATAATTTATCTAATTTATCTAAATATATATATATATATATATATAAAAATTTATCATGTTATATATTCATTATTGAGTATTCATTTATAGTTCTACGGTATATATAACTAGAAATGTTTGTATCATTTGTTTATATCTAGCAGTGACAAATACATAAATCTCACCGTTTGCTGCCAAATGATCCACCGTTTGGGTCTCTTTCTCCCACGATTTCCATTTCCTCATCTAGATATTACGATATGCAGTTAATACTCATTACATATACAAGCATTGTTTCACAAAATGATTGACTGACATCATAAACATCCCATAGAAAATATAAAATGTTTTATATTTGGCTGACTTCATCCAACGATATACACTTCAAAAAAAAAAAAAAAACTATCGTCGACTTCTGGTAGCCATCCGAGGATGATAGTAAGTGACTTCATCCAAGGACAACAAGGAATGAAATGTTAAAATATTTTAAATTTACGTTGTTCCAAATAATATACCGTTATTTAAAGTTTGGCTATAAGTCAAACCAACCATCACGATATATTTTGTTGAATTATATGAAGAGTAGTCAATAATATACACTATTAAATCAATTGAGTTGAAAAGAATATCCTTGATCAAAATTGTTGAGACCGTATAGCTAGAACCTAGTTTCACAAAATTCCTAGCCTTTGTTTGAATAATTAACGTTCCACAGAAGATGTGCCATATTATATGATCGATTGCGCCAAGACATTTAGCTGTCACAAGAAATCTCACACATCATCATATGTAATGTGACACATTCTCTTAGATATGGAGAGTCTACTAAATTTATTTCTCATGCTATATTTAGTTGTACACTAACATTACAAGTGTGGACATTGTCAAGCACACTTTCTAGCCCAAATATATTTCCAAAATCGATGCTTACACAAATACGAATTATCTATTTTGCCAAAAAAATGGCATTAAAAATGTAGAGAACCACATAGATCTTTATCCTTAGATAATGTGATATCTTTGAATAGGAATGGTAAAAATTCTAAAGACATGGATCCATTAGACCTTATTAGGCACACATAAAGAGAATGTCAAGCTTGGGTATAGAGCAAATGAAATTGCTGTTATAGAAGTGGAAATACCACAATTAACAGTTCCACAAACTCTATACTTTGCATAACATTTGTATGGTGTATGGCTCTTGATTAGATATGTCACAATTAAGGTCACAATATAGTGGGTATGGATGGGACTGGAAAGATCAATAAAAAAGTTCAGCTAATGGGTACGAAAAACAAAAGAGACGAATGTCATCTTTGCATTTAGAGTTGAAAACACTTATTTGGAAATTATGATGGTACGAAAAACAAAAGAGACGAATGTCATCTTTGCATTTAGAGTTGAAAACACTTATTTGGAAATTATGATACGACACAACCTATCAATATTTTGTATCATGCCGTAAGAAAATGATTATGATGATCGACGAAACGTATTTTTGGCCAAACTTCTCAACAAAATTGAAAGAGTTTACATAGCTCAGAAGAAGATTTCAATCTTTCAAAACCTCCTTCGTTCCACAGACTCAACACACACAATTGGTGATTCTTTAGCTAGAACTGTTAAATCATTTTATCGTGATTTATCTTTTGTTAGTTGTTTTAATCTGATATGGTTACTCAGATCACATTTTGTCTAACTGATAGAATAATTTCTTGCGTTTTTATGATATTTTTAATATAGTATTCAGAAAAGTAATCTATTATATCATCAATATATATACACAATATTTACCTTGGCCATCCCAAGGAGAAGAGTGGCAAGATTGAAGAGAATATGCATACATGCCAGCACGAAGAAGAAGAAACTCAACTGAGTCAACCCCTCTTGTGATATTAGTGAAGTCTTCCCCTGTAAACTCATTATATTAGTTAGATTAGTTTTTGGTGGCAAAGAAAAAAATCCAATAACAAAATTGCAGTAAGTGAAAGAAATTTGAACAGTATAAAGTTAAAAATAGATAAGGAAATATTCATAGGTTGATTTTTTTGTTTTAGTTTTTAAACTAGTTTTTGGCTTTTGTTTTTCTAAAAACCATTTTTTTCCCAATCAAGTTTTCTAAGAAATGGTTTTCCTAAAATATAGGGAAATTAGTTTTTAGTATAACTACCTATTTTCAAACAAAAACCAAAAGCCAATTTTTGTAGTTTTTTTGTCGATGATTTTGTTTTTTTATTATTAAAACTGTTATTTAATAAATATTAATATAAAGAAATAGGAAATAATACTAAAAATCAATAACAAGGGTACGATATATTTTACTTGGTTGCTTAATGCAACAAGCTAGGGTAGGTACTACACGTAACATATGCATCAGTATATAAATTTCTTTTTTTTCTGTGAAATATTAATATTACTATATTTATGCATTATCATAGGATAATTAAATAAAAAGAGATTAGTGTTAAAATAGTAACTATTCTATATTACTAAGAGTCAACAAAACAATTTGTCTATCATTGAAGATTTGAATTCTAAAACTAAAAAATAACTTATATTAGTGAAAATATTTTCTTATTTTATTTTTGTAGTTTTTTAATTTTAATTTTAACAATTTTCTGGTAAAAAATAATCTGCAACCCAAATTTCACAAAAAACTAATTATTAATTGTGCACTATTGTATGTGTAAAATTATTTAGTTTTAAAACATAACTATTTATTTTATATAATATATGATTTATATGAATATATGGAATAAGTTTCAGATGAAAATAGTATCTTTTAAAATTAATTATATAAAATCTGATTATCAATTATTTAATTAGAAAGAAATGTAATTTAAAGACCACCTATTGATATTACCATATTTAAAAAATACAAATATATTTAATTTAATTTATTCTCTAAGTTTAAATTATTGTGTATTTTAAATATTATTCTGTATTTTCATGTAAATATAAACTAAATATTTTAAATGCAGCAGTTATATTAATAATATTTTTTTCTGTAATTTATTTACTTTTAGTGACATTAATGATATTTTTTTAAATTTATTTGTTGAGAATATTTTACTATTAATAATTTATTAATCTCTAAAACAAAAACCAAAATCTAAAATCACCATTCAAAATTTCTCAAAAAACCAAAATTTACAGCAAAAACAAAAACAAAAAAAACTAAAAACCATAATCTAAAAGTTAAAAGCCAAAAACTAAAAACTAATCAAACAATCATCACCTCATTTTTGTAAGTTTCATGAAAAGTTCATTATATTAAATAAATGGAATTATGTTCTATTTATAATGTATGACTACTTTTTAGTCAACGACGAGACTAGTTTCGTTACATGAATCAGTCAATGACCCAATGTTGTATTCTAAGCGTATTGAAGATTAAAAGATTAATGTGTCTTAATAAACAACTACTAATTTGTTTTTGATAAACTTAATAAACAACTAACTAATGCCATTGTAAACAGTTTATGCGTAGACTTGCGTTGACTTGAGTGGCTAAATCAACGTCAAAACGATTCGACAATTTAACGGATTTAAGAATTTTCAAGCCTCAATGGTGGGAACTACTTTTTACAAGCGTAAAAATAATAGGTATGACCAGAATTAAAAATGATGGTGCGGAATCTGCGGATCAAAGGATTAACCTTGGAGCAATGATGAAAGAAGTTGTTATGATCATCATCATCAAGTAATTTTTGGGTTTCATGGCAAGGCAGCATTCGATTGGCGTACTTTATGGGAATGCATATCTTCGAAACTTCTACTTCAATCACATTTATCATCAGCGACATGAATCCTAGCACCATTAGAACTGTCCATATATACATACACATTAAAATTTTCAGAACTTTTTTTTCTTCATTAATAAAACTTCAGTTGACTATCAAATCCCCAAAGCTATGTTATTTTTTATAAAAGAAAATAATTTGTCACTAAATTGATTGAGGCAGTGAGGGTGAATTTTACCTGATTTGAGGTTTTCTACAGCTTCAAGTAGAGATGTTTTTCTATTTTTCCTTAGTCTCTGCAAAACAAAATGACAAGAAAAAAATAAATTTCAAAAAATGAAAAGATAGTAATAAATTTTCTACTCATGTTGATTAGAGTTTACTACTCCACTTTCTAAGAGCATGTGTATCGCTCGGACAAATATTATTTGTCCTTATATTTTTATATTAATATTTTGGGTTAGAGCCTAGAGGTGAATATTTTAATCACTAAAAGAGTATCTGCTCATGCCACCTGCTTAATGACACTATGGGACGTATACAAAATATTGAACATCCTCCGTTTAATCGTTATTTTTGATTTAAATTAAATAGAAAAACAAGGTAAGGACGAGGGAAGGACGACCGATGCACATGCTCTAAGTATATTTGTTTATACTCATAAGTTGTTCTGTCAATACATCTTCAGGGCCAATTCTGAAGTAATTGGCGCCACAAGAATACTAAATGCATCTATAAGTACTTACAGTAGAGAGTAGATGGATGAAACGCTCTATGACAATGGAGACGGCAATGAAAACGAAACAAACGGTGGCCAGAGCCCAAGTGGGAGTCTCTTGGAGAGATCTGACAGCGCCACCGACGTCCCCTGAGTGATTGGTTTCTCCTTTTCCCGTCATCTCTTATATTATTCTGGTGACTGACATGTGGAGTTGAGATCTTGAAGATATGTTGTGGTGAGCAATATAAAGATATATTGCAATAATTGTTCCAGGCAAGAACTTGTCAAATGTTTCTAGCAAACGGTGACATTATGCTTTAATTGTAACATAACATCCCAAGTCCCACTTTATACCGCCGTGTTTGACCTGGTAACACTTCTATATGTTAGTAGTACTAGTGTATGTACCACCATTAGTTTTAGAGTATAGATTTTGATCCGTAATTTTAAAACGTTGGATAATTTTTACATAAAAGCTTTATATAATCGTATTTTTTTCTTTAAATTAGGTTTGGTATAAAATTTATAAGTCCGAAAAGAATCCAAACCAAAAACCCGATTTGTACCCAGTTCAAAATATAAGAAATATTAAAGTGGATATGGAGGCATAAAATATATCCGAATTTGAAGTGTTATAAGCCGAACTTGAATAGATAATCCGAAAAACCCGCAAAAAATAAAAAATTTGGTCCGAATATAAATATATGCATAAAATATTCAAATCTATATTTATTTTAATATGATATCTAAAGTAAGTATTTAAATTTTAAATAAGTACCTTAAATATCTAATTCTGTATAAATAAGTACTTATTTTTATAGTTTACTTTTAAATTTTGGATTTAACTTTGGATATATCCAAAGCGAATCAAGAAAATCTGATTCCGAATGATATATGGTTAATTTATGGACTTTAAGATATGATATAAATTAGAATTAAAATAGATGTATTATATCCTAACCGATCCATATTTACACATTTACCCGACCTAGGATATGATATAAATTAGAACCAAAATTCAAAATACCTAACATGTATCCCAACGGATACTTGAACACCCAAACCTAATTAAAGTGTGTTTTATATTTTTCTCATTTAGTTTTATATTTTTTATATATTTTACATATTTGTTGGAATAACCCATAAAATTATACTCATTAAAATATCAATACTAACATGTTATATCATACATTAAATATTAGTAGTAGCTAACTATTAATATTTATTTTATCAATATATATATATATATATATATATATATATATATATATATATATATATATTTAATACTCTTATGTATAAATATTATATTATTCTGTATTTGGTGAGGATTTTGAATAATTTGTTTTTAGTTGGATTAAACTACCAATATAGATGAATTAGTAGTTATATTTAATTATTTATGTTAATAAATAAAATATAATTGATTAGTAATTTAAATGTAGTGTTAATATAAATTCAAATAATTATATAAAAATATATTAATTATTTAGTTCCTTAAGTTTAGGATAGGATATAGTTTAATAATGATTCAGTTAGGTATAAATAAAATAAAAGGAAAGCTAGTTAAATATAATTATCCAATCTAAACTATTTTGTAATTAGATAAAAAATTGCTTCTATTTTAATAGTATTGATGATTTGATAATAAATAAGATTAAAAATGCAATTAGTAAATATATAATACACTGTACCAGAAAATTAACTGACACCGTATTAACAAATAAATAACATAGTTTTTTCAATTCTGGTATCTTTATTTTCTTTTTGGTTTACCACCACGTCTAGTTTTTTGGTAGAGGTGCAAAATGAGATGTGAGTCCATGAGTTGAATCAGCTCAACTCAATTATCCATAAATACAAACTATATATCTTCAAGGCTCATTTGTTTAACAAGTTTAATGTTCAAACTTGATTTAGACAGCAAGTTATATGAGTAAGTTATCCTTCCTATGTTTCATTTTATATGTCGTTTAGGTTTTTGCATAAATATTAAAAAATCATTAAATTTCATATTTTATCCCTATTTAGTATATTGTTTATTTAATTATATTAATTGATGAGTTAAAATAATATGGACAAAATTATAAAATTACTAAACAAATGAACTGAAAACAGAAAAACATACTTAAAATGAAACAAGTTTTAAACTCTAGAATGACAATTAATCTCAAACAGAAAGAGTATTAAACATGGGTTACTTTATAAGCTTGATCTTTTACAGTTTTTTTGTCAGCTGATCTTTTTTCAGTTAAAACTATATATATATATATATATATATATCTTATTTTAGAAACTTTTATCTACATTCCTTATAAAAATATAAGTAATATATAATATATACATTATTATATTTAAATGTTATTTAAAATTTTATATAAATTCACATCAGGTGATTATCCCCCTTCTAATTCCTTAATTACAAATTAGCTATCTCCTTTTCATATTTGAAACTATATCTAGTTTTTAATTTTAATTTTATATTATTATTTTGTTTATTTTATAATAGATAGCGAGCTAACATATTTAACTCGTGATCAAATGATCATAATTCAAGTTTACAATTTAAAAATCATACAATAAAAAGTTGGACTAAACTATTTCATCAAATATTCGGTTCTATTATGAGTTGAATTGACTTGAGCGAGTTAGGTCATTTTGTCACCGTAGTTTCTGAGTAAGATTTAATATTGTTAACAATGTTTTTGAATTAAATTATTAGCTAATTATTTTATTAGATAGTATAAGCTGAGTATACAAGGAGACACAAATTATCCAAGTACCCAAATATATGGTATAAAGGTAAGAGAGAATAAGATGAATATACAATGAGAGAAAAATTGGCCAAATATCCCAAGCTAGGAAACAAAATGCGCAACAAAGACAACGTTGTGCTTATTTCATTTCCACGTCCTTTTCATTCATCAAAAATAACATTTAAGGAGTATACAATAATGGTGCATCACACTTGTTCCCAGTATTTGCTGTGCCTTTTCTATCCGAGAGTGTAAATTTAACACCTGCAACTGCAATATCGATTTCTTTTTGTGCACAATATCGATAAATAATAATAAAAACGGATCCACTCAACGTATACCGAAAACACAAAATATTATGACAGAAAACTTTACGAGTGATGCTCAGCGTTCACCTTCAACTAGTATATGTGGATTCTATATCACTGATCTGGCTTCCGAATAGGAAGTTTCCTCTCTTTCTTAATTAGATTAGATAAACAAATTTAGCTTCTTTCCATTTATGATTCCCTTCAAAAATAGAAAGACTTTAATTGCTCTCATAAATAATTCATTTTTAGTTTTTATTCCAAAATAGCACCTAAAAATCAAAATGATCTAAATAAGTTTTACTAAAAGATTAAATGATATCCATATTCTAATTTAAATATATATAAATAGAAATAAATATTAAAAATCGAAAATAATAAAGAAAAAATATTTTAACGATTTTTCTAAATAAAAAGAAACTTCAGAAATAATATTTTTTTTTCATTTTTGTCTTTCTAAATTTGATTTATGAACCACATTCTCTTTATAAAGTTTAGAAATACCTTCATGAATATGTATGATATTCATAATTTTAGTTTAGGAACCACTTTCTCTCTCTTTTTAGTACCCTCGTAATTGGTTTATATATTTGTCAAGTAATGCACCTTATATGGGATTGAGAGATTAGTCAATTAGATATGTCCTACAATTTTCTCTTTTCCCTTAATTAAAATTATCAAAACTTTCTGGATCGAATGGAAAAACATATCTGCCTACCAAGAGGGTGTCACACAGTTTACTGCAGGAGGACTGAGTTTTAAAAACTGAAAAATATAACTATTTTGTGTCACGTCGCAGTTAGCGAAAAATTACATTAGGTAATACGTAACATGTCACATGAAGCTAGAGCTATGTTGGAGTTCATGTGTGGACTATTTAAGCTCAGTAAAAGAAATATACTACATGGTCAAAGACAAACTGATATTTTCCAGTATGCAAAATGAAATTACTTAAGAGAATGTTTGTCATTAAATTAACAAAAGTTTGCTTAAAAGAACTGGAAAGATTCACTGTGAGATTAATAGACTTTTGCCTATGTAGTGATAGCCAAGACCTATTAAGTATAGATAAGTATGACGAAGCATTGTATGTACTCAACACAATAGAAAGAGAGGTTCAGCAAGAGGGGTTTTGGTTTCTCGTAAGAAAGCAAAACACTTAAGCAAAAAAAGAAAAAAAAAAGAAAGCAAAACACTGTGGAATTAAAAGGGTTTGATTTTGAGATTCTTTGGGTTGTCTATAGATCTTTAAGATACTAGCTAGATCGACAAGTGCAGGGGTGTCTTAAAACTATTATAAAAAATGTTAGTCAATCATGCAAGTCCACTTAAAAGATTAACAAGTAATCTGTAGAAAATTTTCTTGTATATTTATTTTGTTCTTGAAACATACGATTCTGAGGGGTCCAAAAGTTCGCACTACTCAAATCTCACATGTTAAACCTCATGCATACACCATAAGAAAAGTTTTTTTTTTCTTTTCGTTGAGTTGCTCAAAAAGAAAAAGCTTTATGTTTTCTATGTACACTGGAGTATCTTACATAAAATATGTAGATATTTAAGAGATAAACACAATAAAAAGATCTAAAAATAAGAAAAATAAGTTTTCTATTATATTAGGTTTGTGTTTCTTTATCCACATGTTAAAATAAATTGTTTTTAACTATATATTAAAATATAGATTTTATGGAGAAGTGTTCCATAAAAGATCTAAAAGTATTTTTATTGAGAGTTCTTAAGATGAAGTTTAACAACTCATGATTTAATTTGATTTTTTTTTTTTACATTTTTTGGCTAAAAACCAGTTATTAGATCACTTATTTAAGAACTTATTCTTAGTTTCTCTTAGTTAAAACTTAAAATATGTATCTTAACCGAAACTAAGAACCACACCTAAGAACTTCCCAATAAGAGAATAGATTATAAGAGATCTAAAAGAAACATTGAAATCTTTAGTTTGAATAGTTTATAATGGTAATAAGAAAAGTCGTTTTTATAATTATTTGTTTATAAAGATTTTGAATTGGTATTAGAGTTTAAGTCAGAAGTTTATTAAGATTTGAAAATATATATTTAAATACCAACGTTAAGTTTTTTTTGAAACACAGAGAATAATTTTTTTGAACAAAAAACAGATAGAGAAATTTAGAGACCGAGAGTGGTCCAGTTTGAGTCTATCGCTGACCGACTTGTAAGAGGGAACAGTCGTGTGTGAAGAGAGAGAGATTCCCTCTTTGCCAGCTTTCTTTTTGGTCTTATCCTACAGGACTATTTGCTACAGCCCAAATGCTTACTATCAAAATAATAAAACAAATTTATATTTATTAAAAATTATACCGACGGCACAAAGAAAAAAACAAATCTTTTATGAATGTTTCTAGGAAAAAAATGGCCATCCCGTTTTTCAACCCATCAAACAACTGAAATATCTTGTACTTCTCCATAATGTCTTGTGGAATTTATATGAAGAAAACAACTGTAAAACGTTCGGAATTTTTTTTTTAAAATTATATCTTTATATAAAGCAATGACTATATATTTATATGAAGTAAATATGCTTATATTCTTATTATATAAATTTGCAGAAAATATTGAACTTCTTGTGTACTCTATAACAATCGTATTAACACACACACATACATACATATATATATATATATATATATATATATATATATAAAGATATATATAGTCATCAGCTTGCAAAATTAAATATTTATTATTCTTAGCTTCAAATTATATATTTCTGCCAATTTGGTGAATTCAGTGTTTTTAAACTGTCTCTCTATATATATCATATTGTAAGTATATTATTAGTTACATTGTTACTTGTTTTCTTCTTCATAACTATATATTTTTGCTCTCAGATCTTTACTTGATTTAGTAGAGAACTGTGAGACAAATTAAAGAGTGTTTCTGTATATCTCTCTGTCCAACTGTTTTGTCTTCTTACTTCAATAGTTTCTCTCCCTCTTTATCTCTCTCTCTCTCTCTCTCGCTTCTCTCTCAACTAAACCAACATGATGATGCCTGATGATCATTCTCAACTCTCATTCTCAAGTTATGTCCTTCACCAAGAACAGATCACCCCAAATCCTAACCCTAACCCTAATCCTAATCCTACCTCTTCAAACTCAAACAAAAGGAAAAGAAATCTCCCGGGAAATCCAGGTATGTACATACTTGATATTTATTTTTATCTATTTCTTTTTTTTGAACTGAATATTTTTATCTATTTCAATCTTGAACAATATTATTGTTCCAAGTTTGGACCATTTTTTTTTGCCTTGCAACGTTTCCTTATCTAATGATTTGCTCTCTTTTTTATTACTGGTTCTAACTTAATATATCAAACCAAAAAAAATACATAGATCCAGATGCAGAAGTCATCGCTCTATCGCCAACCTCGCTTATGGCTACAAACCGGTTCATATGCGAGGTATGCAACAAAGGATTCAAGAGAGACCAAAACCTTCAGCTTCATAGGAGAGGCCATAACCTTCCATGGAAGCTAAAGCAAAGGACAAACAAGGAGCTAGTTAAGAAGAAAGTGTACATCTGTCCTGAGAAGACCTGCGTACACCACGACCCGGCTCGAGCCCTCGGTGACTTAACTGGAATCAAGAAGCATTTCAGCAGAAAACATGGAGAAAAGAAGTGGAAATGCGACAAATGTTCCAAAAAATATGCTGTCATGTCCGATTGGAAAGCTCATAGCAAGATTTGTGGTACCAGAGAGTACAGATGTGACTGTGGTACACTCTTTTCCAGGTAAATATTTGTAACTCAGTTTTAAAGTATAATTAAACACTCTAGGTTGCCTCTATAATTAACTCTATGCAAACCAAATGGTTAGTTTTAGTTTCTACTCAAGATCTCTAATCACATATATATAACTTTATTGATGTTTAGTTTCTTTAATGAATGAATTAAAACAGGAAAGATAGCTTCATAACACATAGAGCCTTTTGTGACGCTTTAGCTGAAGAGAGTGCTAGATTCACCTCAGTTCCACCAGCCGCAGCACCCGAAGCAGAAGTCAAACAAAATCATCAGCAAACCGGTTATAACATAAATGACTTCATGGGACAATCCTTCACCAACCAACTTCCTTTACCATCCAACGTTTTCGCCTCCTCATCATCATCGCCATCACTTCAAAGTCTATGGAATTTACAAGGACAATCATCACATCAGTGGCTTCTCAACGAAAACAACAACAACAGGAACATTCTACAAAGGGGAATCTCCAATAATCAAGAAGATCATCAGGACACTAAGAAGGGAATATTTAGTAATGGTGCCTATTTGTTCTCTTCGGACGCACGCAACAATTATGATCAAAACGTTGGACAAGTAATAGCATCTATGTCAGCCACGGCTTTGCTACAGAAAGCTGCTCAAATGGGATCAAAGAGATCATCATCATCAAGCTCCAACAATTGCGCGGCTTTTGGTCTAATGACTACTTCCTCTACGTTCAACAACAAACATATGGAGAAGGAAATTAAAACTAAGGAAGTTGATGAAAGAGGCTTCACAAGAGACTTTCTTGGTGTGGGAAGTCAAAACCGTCCTTGGCCACTATTGATGACCAACCATAATCTTCCCGACACGACTCAGCTGATGACAACCGACCGTACACAAACAGCCGACGTGAATCACAGTATGTTCTAATTTTTTTATATGAATATATATCAAGCAAGGGCAAGAATCCTCTGTTTACGATATTTTGTAAATGCAGAAACTATGTAGTCCAAAGACGAGTGTGAACAAGCAGGAGCTGCACGACAGCACAGAATGAAGAAATTTGTTAAAGACAATAATTCTGAGTCGGAGAGAATCTCTGAGTCAACTCGGTACTGCACAATGGGTCCTCTCGCTTGACAAAGATGGCTATTTGGGTCCACTCCTGCATGCATGGCGAAACTTCTGACTATGCATGCACAACAAACCATACGCTATGTCTTTTCTTGTTCTTCCTTTTTTTTTTGTTGCTTGTAATTATTTCATGATTTTATTAGTTGTGAAAGACTCTAAAAGCAACGAGGACAAACGTGTACGTCGGTTTAAGACTTCAGGCAGTTGTTACTCTCTTTCTCTGGTTGAAGGTTAAACTTTTGAAAGTTTTTATTATGATTATTACGACAAGTAAACTTTTCAATGTTATTGAAATCTTTTGTTTCGGTCACTTTGAAATGTTTGACGTATTAGAAGAGCATAATTAACCCCGATCTCTTAGCCGGGGTTCTTAATTCATGATTTGATATTTTTCTTTTTTACACTAAGAAACGTCTCTTATCTCTTATTTAAAAGACAATTTTTATTCATAAATTGACATTTAAAACTAAAACTTTTATTAATATATAAAAATAGAAATAAATATCTATCAATATAAGAAAGATTTAAATATTATTTTAAAATATTATTATATCTAAATTTCAAATATTTAGAAACTAGCAATACTCCTCCCTCCTGCCTCTTTCTTTTCTCTCGAAATTTTCAGAAAGGTCTTCATGCTTTGCTCCGATGTTGGCCTCATCGACGTCAGAGGCTGCCTCTTCTCCAAGATCTGTTTTTCTCTTTGCTTCCTTGTTCTGACGAGATCCATCTTCGATATGCTATGGGACACTGGGTGGTTCATTGCCGGTGAGTCTCTGTTATGTATCGGGAGAGCTATTTTCACCGGTTCCGACGAGTTGGTGTGAGTTTAGTAGGACAAGGAAGTCGGGTTTTGATTGGTGTCATCATCAGATCTGATTTTCTCTTTCAGATTTTTTCGGTGCTCCCATAATTCGGTGGTGGGCGAGGTTCATGACGGCCTCCAGTATTCATGTCATCATTTTTTTTCTTTTTCAAAACTATTGATCTGTGGTGGAGTGGAGATGAATCTCTTGTGTTTCACTCCGGCTAGGTGTATTGCGTGGTGGTGGTTATCTCAGTTTGTCTCAAAACCGTCTTTTGCATATCTGGTTACGGTAATTTGCGTTCTGTTAGGGCTATGGTAGCTTTGGGTTCGTGAATCTTTTGTTATGGACCAAGGGAGTTCGCATTTTTGATGGTTATGACTTAGCAGTCTTTTTTCTAGGGTATGATATCATTTGGTTGCTTGTTGTTTGATACTCCTCCCGTGAGTGTTCATAGAGAGGTTTGGTTGGCAAGGCTTTTTCTTCATGGTGTTTGGAGGAGATTTTTTCTTAGATCGTAGAGTGTTTATGTATCCAGGGAGTGTGGACTGAGCAGGGTTCCCATTGTCGAGTTATGAAGTTCCTAGATCTTGGTCTTAACGTTTGGCAGGCGAGGCAACAGCGATAAGTGTGGTGTGGGTGCAGAAGTGGAAGGTACCGTATGGTGGGATATAAACACCAACAGTAACTCCTGATCAATTGCATTTTTCTTTTTTAGAAAAACTGCAAGGTATTATTATGTGGCCATTTCGTAGATTTAAATGTTAGTGTCGTGTTAGTTTTTATTTTTATTTTAAATCATTCTTGTGTAGCTTCTAATGATTATTTGGTTATGAGACTATTTCGTTTTGCCGCCAACGTTTGTATGAATATTTGGTACTTTGCCACACGACTATTGGTACGGGTTGTAGATCAAAACTGGCTTTCCGTTTGGGCTTAGCATTACATTTCCTAGCAGCCAGTCTGCGGCCCATATACTTAATTATTAACAACCCCAAATCGAGGGCCCATATCATTTTTTGAAAACCGGGGTTTACACTACACCAACGCTTCTAACCCCTCGTGACACCCACCCTGCATTTTACGCTGATATTATTGTTTTTCTTTTAAAATTTAGTCTTTTTCCCTTTAATTAATTAATTATGTCTCTCGAGATTAGTTTTTTTTTTCTTTTTTGGGGGATACCCTGTTAAATTTATGAGATTTCTCATTTGTGCCTCTTCTTCTTCTCCACCACCAACATCAAATTAGGGTTTGCGACTGTGAGTGCCCTTTAGTGATTGAGTAAATTGAGTCCGAGTAGAGATCTAACTTAGCTCCTATCCTTCATCACCAAATCCTCTCTTCTGCTACCATGTTCTGGAAGTTGACTGCTCTCTCTGCTGCTTCCCCCGTGAGTTATCCACTCTTCGTGTTCTGAATCGAATTGAAGATTTCGTTGGTTACATCGTGAATTGAAAGTTTCTTCTTATGTCTTTGCTTATTTTTTTGCTTGTTGATTGGTTGACAGGTGGAATCGATATTAGACAAGGAAGACTTCACTTTGGAGGAGCTTCTGGATGAGGAAGACATTATCCAAGAATGCAGAGCTTTGAACAGCCGTCTCATTAATTTGTAAAATTTTCATTTTAGTCCTTGTAGTTTATCTGTATATCCTCGTTTGTACTCTATATATATATATATGAATCACTTCACAGTTCTTTGGTATACAATGGGAGTTTTAGTTTTCTTTTAGTATTTGCAAGAAGGGCTGGGGATGTTGGCGTTTTATGCTTTTTTATTTATTTTGTTTTGCTCATTTTGCAGTTTGAGAGAAAGAGACCAAGTGGAACAGTTACTACGTTTTATTGTTGAAGAATCTCCAGAAGATGCTGATAGCAAGCGCGCTTTCAAGTATGTTTTTTTTCTTTTAACATATAATTTCCGTTTACTTTTGGTGATTAACTTTAACTCAGTTTACTGTTTGACTTGGTGTAGTATATGTCAGAGAACTATTTTTAACCAGGATTTGATTAACCATGTTTTTTGAATAGTTCTCTCCAACTGTTTTTTGAACTTTATTCAGATGTACTGTTGTTGACCTTAAATCATGTTTTTCTGTTAGGTTTCCTTTCATCTCCTCTGAAGTCTTGACTTGTGAGATTGATGTGATTCTTAAGACTTTGGTGGAGGAGGAGGAGGTATTGTGCTTCTTTTATTCTTCCTTTGTTATGATGGATGCACGAATAGGAGTTATTTCCTTTGGTCTCATTTAATTGTTTTTTTTTTTTCTTGATGCAGCTAATGGACCTACTTTTCTCCTTTTTGGAACCTAACCGTTCTCACAGCGTAATGCTAGCTGGGTATTTCAGCAAGGTAGTTTTCTCGATGTGCACGTTTTCAGTAATTGACTATTTCAGTGCGTAAGATCATATTCGTTCAGATGTTTGTTACTTACGAAGAATGTATCTAATCTCTTTCGGGTGTAGGTTGTCATATGCCTTATGTTGAGGAAGACGGTCCCGCTGATGAACTATGTAAAAGTAAGTTTTATGAAATTTTTGGGAATAGCACTGGAATCTTACTAACTTCTGGTTGAAAATTAGATAGTGTGGCAGAAATAAGCTGGAATCCTCGGACAATCCTTGAATAGTTGAACATATGACATGCACTTTTTCTTCGGAACTTGTTGGGTGAATTGTCTGCTGTACAGTCAATATAAATATAGTAACTAATGTTTTACAATCTACAGGCCCATCAGAATGTTTTCCAGCAACTGGTTGATTTGATAGGGATTACGTCCATTATGGAGGTAAACCGTCCCCTCTCCTCTTATCCTTACATATGTTCTGTTGATCATTTTTAAGCTAATGTTAAAGTGATTTCCCTAGGTTCTAATTCGGTTGGTTGGTGCGGATGATCATGTTTATCCCAACCACACGGACGTGATGCAATGGTTAGCTGATAGCAATCTGCTTGAAATGGTCGTTGATAAGCTTAGCCCATCAGTAAGTATTAATTTTCGGTGTTTTTATCCACTTCATTTTGCTGTAAATGATTGAAATATTGCAAGCATGTACCTTATAAGATATATAGAGGATAGTTGAACTCCTGTGCTTGCACATCTATGTTTTGTCTTCTTGGTTACCTACCTACTTCTGAATCTATAAATGTAGTAAATAGAACACTCTGTAGTGGTTACTGTTTCGGTCAAATAACAAGAATTATTTTCTAATTTTTATCAGTTTCGATGTGACGTTGCTGACAGATATTTTCTTTGGTTTCCTATTTGTATCAGAATTCTCTTGAAGTTCATGCAAATGCTGCTGAAACATTGTGCACTATTGCACAAAATGCACCATCACCTTTGGCTACGAAGCTCTCCAGTTCAAGGTTTGCATGATGGTTTTATGCTCTTAAATATGCAGAAACATTTTAGTTTCAAGATAATTTCAGTGATTTTTTTGTCTGCAGTTTTGTTGCAAGGATATTTGACCATGCTTTCGGAGATCCCCACTCCAAATCTAGCCTTGTCCACACACTCTCGGTGTGCATTTCATTGTTAAGCCCAAGAAGATCTCTAGTTTCTTCGTCCTTTATGTATTCATTCAGGGGCCAACAAATCTTTGAGTCTCCAATTTCGGTGAATCCGGAGACTATTGCCACCATGCTGCCTAGACTTGGTTAGTGTAGTACGAACTACAGATGCTCATTATGTTCTGTACATGTGTCGCATGTTTGTTTCTTGTTTTTCTACTGATGGTTGTTTCATCACACCATTAATATCACTTTTATACGGATAGGATCCGTTTCCATCTTTTTGGTTCATCCGTCACTCAACATAGGTTCACTTATGCTAAGGTTCATTTTTCTTGGTTTATTATTTTAGTTGTTCATTTGCTTTCATTCTACTTTCTTATTAGCAGTTTGCGGATATATGCTTTGTTCTTTCTTTCCTGATAGATTCGAGCTTTCTTTCTTGCTGAATGTATATGATAGAATTTGTCTCCTTCACTTTTCATGCGCTTGGAGCTCTTCTTTGAACTTTCCTTTGAGGCTTATATCTTTTGTGTAGGTGACTTTGTCAAACTTTTAAACGCGACCTCTGATGAAAAAGTGTTACCTACCACCTATGGACAGTTGAAACCTCCTCTTGGCAGTCATCGCCTGAAGGTCAGGTTTCATTGTGAAATTTCACTTTTTGTCATTTTAGGGTCTGACTGTAAGGCGTGTACATCAGATCTTGGACTTACACATGGACACTTCCGTTTGCTTTCTGTTCAGTTATTTTCTTCTCACTTTTCTTGTGTTGCTGATGGCTTGTCTTAGATCGTGGAGTTCATCGCTATCTTGTTGAAAACACGAAGTGAAGCTACAGGAAAAGAACTAGCCAGCTCAGGAGCGATTAGAAAAGTCCTTGATCTGTTCTTCGAGTAAATATTACTTGTCTCTTGATTAGAAACTCTTGTTTTGTTTGGTACTTCACATGTCTTTATGTTTTTCTTGGCTAAATCCAACTTTTCAATTTCCCTTTTTTCGTATGCTAGGTACCCATATAATAATGCACTGCACCATCAGGTGGAGAGTATAATAGTATCGTGTTTGGAGAGCAAAAATGACGAGATTGTTGACCATCTTCTCCGCGAGTGTGATTTGATTGGAAAAATTCTCAAAACAGAGAAACAGCCAATCCTTTCTGGTGATGACCAGGTATGAACTGTTTCACTCATGGTTATTGGTGTGCTTACTGTGATGAGTATTTTAATTATATGGCGATCAAGTTTGCCAAGGAGCATATACAGACATGTCAAACAAGATGTGGAACATTAGATTGTGTGGTGTGCAAAGAAAACAGAGTTATTGTTATGTCCACTTTTCTAGCAGATATTGTACTGAGTTATAGGTTGTATTGATTCTGCTTTCATGCAGCCAACAATACCTGCTGCTGGAAAGATGGCTCCACGGGTGGGAAATATTGGTCATATTTCAAGAATTTCGAACAAGCTTGTTCAGCTGTCGACTAACAGTGACCTAATAAAGACTTTACTTGAGGTTCGTTTTCCAGCAACAATGATTGCGAATTTATTGTTGCAAGCAGTATATTATTTTTCTAAACATATAACCATTTAAGTCGTGGAAAATTATTGTGCTAATTCGTATGACTTTCTGACGCGTACCGTTTTCCTTTGCTAGGAACATAACGAATGGGGCGAGTGGGAAGCTAATACATTGCATGACCGAAACGCAGTCGAGAATGTTTATCGCTGGGTTTGTGGGTATGCTGTCTCTTCTCAAACCTTAGGCTTGCGGTCTCATTAAAAACATTAAGATGTCATTGGAAACTAGGTCGTAACACCATTGGGTTTGAAGATAGATAGCACAATATCTTCTCGTGCTAGTTCAGATTTTGTTTCTTGATAACAACCACTTATACTTGTTTCGCATGCAGACGCCCAACTGCATTACACGATAGGACTAGGGACAGTGACGATGATGAAGCTCACGACAGGGATTATGACCTTGCTGGTTTAGCTAATAACTTGAACCAATTTAGATACAACATGCAAGAGAACAATGGTGCCGGGGAGGTAATTGTTAATCTCTCTCGTTAGTATTTGTTAAACTGTTGGCTGGAACTAAATCCCATGCTTCTGGTTACAGGAGCACGGTTCCAATGACAGAGAGGAAGAGGTATTCGTTATTAATTATAGTCAATGATTAAAGAAAACACTGTCGACAATAATCCTGACGTTTGACTATAACATATTTGGTAGGATGTGTACTTTGATGACGAATCTGCTGAAGTTGTTATATCATCTCTAAGGCTTGGTGATGAACAGGACAAGTAAGCTTCCAAATCTTATTTATACAAACCAACATGGAGGGGCTTGGTTTCTCAATTCATTGGTTTTGTAGCTTATAATCCCAACATGATATTTTTCTCTTTCTTGATGCAGCAATATATTCACAAGCTCGAACTGGTTCACGTTTCAAGGAGATGAGTTAGGTGACAACACAGGAACAGGGGCCATTCCTTCAGAGGAAGCAATGGAAGATGTAAGCTTGAATGAAAATGGAGATGAAGATGATGATGAAGAAGAAGACTGTTTGATTACAGAAAGCAACAACCCTTTTGTAGCCACAGCTTCAACCTCAGAAGCAGTCTCTGTAGACAACAACACCGTACCTGGAGATATCGAGATCGAAGAAGATGTGGTTTCAGGTGAATCGTCACCCGAAATGGTTAACCGTGGAGATCCTTTACCTGGGGATGACGTGAAGATGCCTGATGTGAGAGTTTCAAACGGTTCGTCATCCTCGGAAGGCGAGATAAGCCCGAGATCACCACCTGTACCTTCGTTATTTGGCAAAGACGTTGAGTATGTTGGCGTGGAGCCAGAAGGAACCGAGAGGGCAATGGATCAAGCTCTAAAGGAAGGGATAGTGGGAGAGGCAGGGCCAATGATGAGGAACAACACTACAGCATCGCCGGGAAAGGAGAGCTCTGATGAGAATATACAGCAGGAGTACAACGACACTAACTACTGGAAAGTCGATCATGAGGTGGCCGTGGTTGAATGATGATGATGTTGTTGAACATTGTTGTCGGAATGATTCCCAAGCAGAAAGGGAAAGGAAAGGAAAGGTACGTGTGAATGTACATTACTACTAAGTCTCATCTCTTTTGCTTTTTGTTTTTTCTTTTGGGGAATAGTGAAGTGACTGATCTGCTCGTTTAGGTTCTTACAAAATTTGGATGTTTTTGCTATATGTCTGTCAGATTTCACCCTTTTTTTTTTTTATTAATACTCTTTTGAAATGTTTGATTAAAAATTGGGACTCGTTGTAAAGACTTTTGTGATTGTTGCACGTTCTTTGGGTAATAAATACTGAAAGTTTTATGTTTTAGGGAGTTTTGAGGCTATTAATTTTTAAGGATGGCAGTGATGAATCTTCCTCGGTTTCTTCTCTTTGAGACCAGTTTATATTTGTGGCTTCTCATTCAAAGTTATGTCTCTATCAACATCTCCATATCTGAGTTAGTGATCCTCTATTGTCCCAAACAATACACGATTTCGTTGAAACCAGAAGTGAAGTTAAATGTACATTTGTTCATGGTGGTCCGTCCTCTTAAAGCTCATCATCCTAAGAAGTGCAAATCAAACATAGAAAATGAAGAAAGATCATCTAGAAGAACAAAGCTTTGGTGATGATGACAAAGAAACGTAGAAAGAAAGTAAGAGATAATGACATGACATTTTCTGACATGACATTTTCTGCTATGACTTTCAAATTTTATTATTTTATTCGTTTTCTAACTAGATATATTTCAATTATATTAGACTATCGAATATTGGAAACGTGGTTTATTATTAATTAAGTAGAACTCTAGATAATTTGGATGCTTTTTTTTTTTTTTGTCAAAGATAATTTGGATCTTACATTAAACTTAGGGTAAGTGGTGTGCCGAGAAAAGATGAAACGGTCATTACATTCTTGGACATGGACTTGTATTATTTTGCATGCTTCTATTAATTGTCTACAAAGTTTCTAGCGGAAAATTTGTTTTGGAAAAGGAAAGAAACTTTGTAGACAATTAGAAACGTCACCAAGCATAATCAATAAAACGTCCCCGCATAAAAGACTTACGATGCATACCTAATTTTCAGATTTCAGACGTCTAAATGATTTTGGATTTTAGTCGAATTATATAATTTTAATTCAAAGGTGGGAAGAACATTATGATTTATGAAGTTTGATGAATCGCATAACCATATTAAAAAAAAAATCGAAAGTTAAATAAGAACCTGAAATGATGACAGAGTGACACTTTTACAGCATGGTCGGAATAGTTACTGATATAAATAAATGTAACTTGTCACCCACTGGTACTAAAAAACGCTAGAAATCGCTAATTTATCCAACTTTACAATTTAATTAATCTTATATGGGTTATTATTGAATCAATTTGATTCCAACTTTTAGTAGTGGATGAAAGTTTCCAATGCTAAAAATATCTTCACTCTGCACTAAAACAAATTAAACGTTGTAAAACGAAAGTTCAGGTGACTAATTTTTTATCCCTACTTTTTCTATTTTTTGTCTAGAACTTACATCTGAGATCAGGTCCTTTCTAGGTTTTATCTTTCTACGATAATCGACCACGCTCTCCTTTTATGAGACCACCTAAAAGCATATTGGACTTGGGAGTTGGGACTCATGGGAGCATCTCTTTATCTAGACCCGGAAAACTCTACCACATTCACCTTCTATTATGTCTCTCAGACTTGTTCTGTGATTAGTCACATGGTCCTTTTCTTATGCTTTGCCCGTTAAGATCCTTTTGAAGAATAACTGCCATTTGCTTTTCCGAAAAGGCGAAAACCATACTACTCTTGTTAAGTTTGGGACCTGGCTAACTTCACACCAGTCAGCTCCCAATAACATTTTCTTATATAATCGGTTCATGATCATTGAATGATGAAATTTCACAACCTCCGGTCAAATTAATTGTTCACCTTTGATCAACCAAAAAAAAAACAAAGTCTCTAGCAAAGTTACCACGATCATTGCTCAATCGTTCGGTGAATCTCAAAAATACAACTCATGTGTTTTAGAGAAAAAAATATTCCTTCAGTTTCTTTAAAAATGTGATGGAGATTAAGTGAATCACTGGAAATATTTAAGAAAACATTTCAATTGTTTAAATAAATAATATTAAATGTTTATGATTGCAGGTATTGGTGATAAACTGTTGCAATATTAATTGATTGCAGTTTTTGATGATAAACAATTGTAACTCTTGATTAAACATTACAACTATTGATGCTAAAAACTGTAATTTTTGACTAACCATTGTAATTGTTGGTGATAACTAATACAATCTGTAACTCTCTATATAAAGAATTATGGGTATTCACAAATAATTACCAAAACAAAAACTATAAAATCATAGTGAGCACAAATTTACCAAAAACAAGAGCTATTCGTTGTTCAAAAATTATCAAGATATGTAGAAATGAAAATTTCCAATAAACCTATATAATGACATTGCTTGAAAATATTGAAAATAACAATAATTAATTGTGGGAAACAACCTTATATTCAGCTAATCCACAAAGTAACGTGGATTTTCCCTATTTACACTGACAAATAATAAACACCCTTTTGTCAACCACTTTCATCATTTTACCATCACAATCCTTTCCTTCTTAAGAAAAAAAAGTTTAATATATTGCGAATTCCCCAATCAGTGGCCTCTCCCACTTGTGATTGCCTCACCACTACGACCGTCACATCCAACCCAAATCGTATCTTTAAAATATATCTTAAATAGTCAACCCACCATGACAGAAAACCCTAACTTTCATGCATATATATAGAAACTCTCCATATTCTTCGTCTTCAGGGTACTTAACTAAACCCATCGTCCGAAGCTTGAATAAGTTAGTTGTAGAGGTAAGTTGTGCCCATTTCATGTCAATATAATTGTATCTAGAAGGCTATTTATTTCTAAACCCTTCTGTTTTTCTTCTGCAGATCATAATATAAAACCGAGATGAAGGTAAAAGTTAAGCTTATTTTAGTTGTTATCATGGTGGTGATGATCATTGTATGCTCTTGTTCGGATGCGAGGACTACCATTCCACGTGAAAATAATCAAGAAAACGAGAAAATATCCCGAGAGATGATTGGGAAAGAAGAAATTTTAACTGAGAAAATAGAGCACCCTAGAAGCAGTGTGGAGAACCACCATTACATCCCAAGACAAGATTTCAACAACTATGGACCTGGAGGCGATAACAATGGAGGCGGTGGGGGATAATCAAATCAAATCGTGAAAACTAAATCAATATATATATATAAATATTATATAACAAATAAAACTTATGGATGTATATGTGAAATTATAGTGTATGAGGCCAGCACACTGTATAAAGTCCTCTTCTGTTTAATAACCCTTCTAGATATGATCCTTTCTTAGTTGTTTTGTACTGTCTTTTCCCTATATATATATATATATATAAGATAATCTGTTTGAATAAAAACATATTTCTAAATTCATCATTACAGATGAATTTCAATTGTTATTGCGGATCATCTCATCGTGAGAACATATATAAAGTTATATGAATTTCTACCTCAAAACTAATTAGCAAATAATTGATGTGAGTATCATAATCTTTCCAAAATGATGGTCTTGGGTCTATTGATCTCAATATATTTGGACAAACTTAAAGAGACAATTATGTGTTGGATTGATATAAGATCACATTGCAAGTCAGCATGTGTCATGGTGCTCACGATTTTATATTCTTCGACTCCGGTCATTATTACGAAATTTTGGCTGTAACTCTCTTTCTAACGCTATAAACATTGATTAATCCTTTTTAGCACCATTTCAAGTTTACCTCGTGGGATCCTAGTTAATAAAACCATGAACCAAATACGGATACCCAAAAAAAATCGGTTAAAAACATAAAGACTTGTTTTCGTACTGTTTTCATGTCGTATCTAATGCTCTCTTCACTACGAGACTATGCGCTTAAAACTATCGAAGGTAAACTCGTATTATTAATGGATTTGATAGAAACCCATGAAGCCCAACTAAATCTGACTTCTATCTTTACAGCATATAGGGGTGGGCACTTTATCCGATACCCGAACTCGTACCCGAACCCGATCCGAAATATCCGAACCGAAATCCGAACCGAAGTAGCAAAATACCCGAACGGGTATTGAGTTAGCAGAGTTTGGATATCCGAACCCGAACGGGTATTACCCGAACCCGAACGGGTATCCGAAGATAACCGAACATATGTATATATACCTATTTATTCCTAGTTTATTTGTCTCATTTTATTAAAAATATTTATATTAATGTTATATATAATTTAAGATCAGATAATATACATATAATTGTAAAAAAATTAATTTGTTACTCATTTATAATGCATATTAAGCTTCTTATTTCCTATTTTAAACAAAATTTGCATCCAAAATTCAAAAATAACAACCAAAATATTGATTTTTATTTTCAATAATTTATTTTCAAACTTATTAATCGTCTAACTTATTAAACATTTTAAAAACAGTTAAGTTAATAGTTAAATTTTAAATACATGAAACTTAAGTAATAAAAAATTTGAAATTTTTTTTCAAAATCTAAATATCCGAACCCGACCCGAAATAACCGAACCCGAACTAAAAATATCCGAACCCGACCCGATATGTAAAAATACCCGAACGGGTTCTATACCCCAATACCGAAATACCCGAAAACCCGAAATACCCGACCCGAATCCGAACGGGTACCCGAACGCCCACCCCTAACAGCATACATAGTACATACAATTTAAATATATCATTCGACACAAATTTGAGAGACAATATAATGTGTCATGTAGTATTAAATTAAGTGGGGGTAATTAAAATGGCTAGTTATTTCTTAAAATTATTTAGTCATTTCATTGGCTAGCATGACGTGGTAACGTGGTTAATAAACCTCTTTTTAGGATATACAAATATACTTTTTTGGATCAAAATACAAGTAATGTCTTTATTAGTATATTTTCTTCTAGCAAGTTCAGGACCGAGCTGTCAAAGACTCAAAAGTCAAAACTCCATTTTCACTCAAAAGAGTTCTCAAATCAAACGAATTAAATGACAGCTTTGACTTTTGCCTTTGACAGAAGTTGTCAATAAAATAAATTGTATCTATAGAAATAAGTTTCAGTCTTTGGCTTTTGAAAGTTTGATAGGTCATGCTTAAGATAGAATACAAATACAGACTGTATTTGTTGTTAGAGACTGAGACGCATGATCTGTACGGTTATTACTATAATACTCATGTTTCGATTTCATTTGATAAGAGCCTCTGACTATCTTCTTATGTTTTCTGTTTTGGGTTAATAAATCAAGAATTGGTCGTTCCACACGTATATGACGACTGAACCGCCAAGGTTCGCTTTTTTTTCCGAATTTATATCTAAATTTACCTTATGTTAGTTTTGTTTTTGTTGTCAACAAAAATTAGTTTTGTTTTTTCAAACTATTTCAATTAGTTTTCTTTTATAGTGTTGTAGAAAAAAAGTAAACGGCTTCATAACTCTTATTGAACCCGTGGTCACATTACACATTACACAATATACAATCAACTTCACAAAGTACAAATACATAATCACTTTAACCAAGGTTCTGAAAGAAAAAACTTGGGTATAAGATTTAGGAAAATGATTAAGTTTATTTTGATTGTTTTCCCTTTTTAAGTTCTTACAAAGGTTACATTTCACATTTATACTATAAACCCTAAAACTAGTTAAAACTGATGAGCCATCATCTCTAACTATCTGAAAATGTAAGTCGGAGCTTGTAAATGTTAATGGTCTTCTGTGACTAACTAAGTGATGAAGCCATTAATGTTGGATGAATTAATCGTTAATATAGAAGGTATGTGGAATGGTAGAAATCATGTGGATGCAATATGTTGTAAATGGAGAAGGATAAACTTGAGATTTATGTCTTGACGAAGTCCCTGAAATAGTTGCTGATGCAGTGTGCGTCAGATATTACACCAGGAAGCATGCCAAGTGGTGGAAATCATGTGGATGCAAAATGCTGAATTGACGTAGGATAAATTTGAAGAGCAAGTTTATATTATGGTGAGAAGTCTATAAGATAAATTTAGAGAACAAGTTTATACCTTGAAGAAAAATAAAAAATATATATACTTATTAATATGAAAGTTGTCTATATTCATGGTTCCTTGGATAGGGGTTTTGGGAAAGTAGAAATCACTATAAAATAGCTATCAAGTCATTTGTATTCCATTAGACATTCTGACTAATTATTATAGAGAAAAAGTGAGAATTTCTTAGGAGTGTTCTTGGATCTTGATGAAACAGACACTAAAATATTGACAATGCATAGACAAATTTGGGTAGATTAAAAATCTAAAAAAAGTTTACTGACAATGTTATTACTGACAATTTGATATGCATAGACATTGTTATTACTGACAATGCATACACAAATTTGCGTAGAGTAAACTTACCTTTACAAAAAAATAAAGTTTATTTAAAGTGTATTTGGAAGATCTGGAGAGCAAGTTTCATCCTCCGAAATTCGGTTTAGTAAGGTTTTGAGCCAAACTGATTTGGGTGAGATCAGTTGTGATTTTTCAGTTTAATTGTTTTTTAGTTTCTTTTCTATTGTGCAAAAAAAAAATCCTGTTATATTCCGTAAAAAAACCTAAAAGATTAATATGATGAACCTTTAAAAAAAAACTACAAAATAATAAGTCAACAAAAGAGGACAAAGGAGGCCTGAAAAGCAACAAGATGAGGATCAACTTGTGTGCCGGTGCCGTACGCCCAACGTACGTTATCGTCTGCGATGTGTCAACACTAAGTGATTCTTTGGTAGGTACATATATGTATCTAATACAATAAATAATGGATCATGAAAATAGTACAAGTCAAACAACAAAAGTTTTGTCAGCAGGTACCGGCCTGCCGGGTGGTGGCATGAACCCTAATTTAGGAGCTAAGAGCATGATTAATTCATTTTCTTAATTTAATGTTTTAACTTATTATTTGATATTTTTTGTTTTATATTTTTTGCTAAAAATTAGTTTTTATATCTCTTATTCAATAGATAGTTTTTAGTTAATCATGATCTTAAGCCGTGCAAATTAAATCTGATGAAAAAATAAACTTTAGTTTTTTGGGTTTTTAGTTTCGGTTAAAAATTGTTTCTTAGTTTTTAACTAAAAAAACTAAAAATTATCTATTGAATAAGAGATATAAAACCATTTTTTAGCAAAAAAAAATATAAAACAAAAAATATCAAATCATAAGTTAAGAACATTAAATTAAGAATTTTTTTGTCAAACAACAAAAATTTTGTCAGTAGGTACCGGCCTGCCGGGTCGTGGCATGAACCCTAATTTAGGAACTAAGAGCATGATTAATTCATTTTCTTAATTTAATTTTTTTAACTTATGATTTGATATTTTTTATTTTTTTGCTAAAAGTTAATTTTTATATCTCTTATTCAATAGATAGTTTTTAGTTAATCATATCTTAAGCCGTGCAAATTAAATCTGATGAAAAAATAAACTTTAATTTTTGGGGGTTTTTTTAGTTTCGGTTAAAAATTATTTCTTAGTTTTTAACTAAAAAAAATTAAAAATATTTATTAAATAAGAGATATAAAAATCACTTTTTTAGCAAAAAAATATAAAACAAAAAATATTAAATCATAAGTTAAAAACATTAAATTAAGAAATTTTTTGTCAAACAACAAAAGTTTAGTCAGCAGGTACCGGCCTGCCGGGTGGTGGCATGAACCCTAATTTAAGAGCTAAGAGCATGATTAATTCATTTTCTTAATTTAATGTTTTAACTTATGATTTGATATTATTTGTTTTATATTTTTTTGCTAAAAAAACTGGTTTTTATAACTCTTATTCAATAGATAATTTTTAATTATTTTTAGTTAAAAACTAAGAAACAGTTTTTAACCGAAACTAAAACCTCCATCATAGAATCCGAGTTAATCATGATCTTAATCCGTGCAAAATCTGATGAAAAAATAAACTTTAATTTTTGTGCCCTGTCACTTTTGTAAATTGAGAGTTTAAATATATATATATATATATATATATATATATATATATGTGTGGTATATTTTTTTCCTTTTCTAGGATCAGATCACATTCTTTTGTGTACCAACTTAAGTGGTGTTTAAGTCATGATATATGCAGCTTTGATCACTTCTCTCCTTAATACGAAAGTAAAGCTCCTTGAATTAAAGTGAATGTATGTGGAAGATAATATTTGTATATTCTTCTGTGTCTGTGTTAGCCATATAAGATAATACCATACTAATGTTTTAAAGGTAAACAAAAGGTTTAAGTCCCTTTAAGTGGTTTAACTGAAGGTGATTAATCATTTTGCAGTATGATGTATTGTCCAAGAAAAAAAATAATAACAATTATAAAGACTAATAAAAAAATTACAAAAGATTTTTAGCTGCAAATGAACCGCTAAAAATCAATTTTATAAGATAAATCAGGTTA